ATAATCAGTCACAAGAACGTCGAATCTGAATCACTTGAAAAAAAACACGGGGGTGCTTAACTTTTTTCCAGGTGTATATATATGCCATAAGCTTGGAATGTCTTAAAAATATATTGTTATGAAGCACTCATTACAAAAACATAGAGCAGCCTCTGTATTTCTTGTTTTTGTGGTTATCAAATTTAGTAATTCTAAATTGACATTGTTTTTGATACAGAATATGCTCATCTCATTTATTTTAAATGTTAATATTATATATAAATTACCATGTTTGAAAAAAATATACATCTAAGTAAAAAAAGTAATGAATATTACTTGGTTTTGATTTGAAATTAGTTTGTCATAGAGCAATATTAAAGTCTAATGAGCTTTAGGTGTTATTCACTGATGATTGCCTCACCAATATATTTAAACAGAAATAATATTGAGTCATGAGGTACGTTCCTCAAGAGCACATATGAACCATATGGAAAAAGTATCATTAAATTTATTTTGATTTAGTTGTAGTATATTATTTCAAGATTTAAAGCAAAGGTTAGAGTAAGAAGCAAACAACCTGTTTTAAATGGGTACCTTTTATATGAGAGATGTAGTTCTGTAGTTGATAATTTCTCACAATATTTCTTCCTATTACTTTCCATATCTGTCTTTCGTCCTTGAAATAATAGGATATGAATCATACATAAGAAAAAGACAATTAAAAGAAGCCATCTACATCCACCTAACTGATAATACCATCTGTTAATCTAGTCAGTAAAATTCAAATTGTCAGTTGATTGAAACTAATGGGGGAGACCCATGTTGAGTGTATAATGTACCAGACTTCCATCAAGAAGATCCATGGTCGAATCCTGGACACTACAAAATATAGAATAGTCCTACTCATGACATTCCTGAAGACAACAGTAGATTAACAGTTGAAATATAGAATAAAAACTAGTTAGTAATTAGTATCTAATTAATTCAGAAAAGTTATAAATTAATACATAGACTTTGGTTATTGTACAGGTTACTAACCATGAAAATGATTAATATTAGGCTTTATAAGTGTGGGAAAAATAGGAATGTGAGATGCACCAGCCATTGTCAAAAAAGTTTCTTATTTCAGTTAAAAGTATGTATCAAAAAGTGATACTTAATTTAGTTAAAACTGATTTGGAGCAAATAAATTAACAGATGGATATGATGTGTAACACACACACACACACAATGAAAATAATATTAATTATATCAAAGACAAAAACACAATATGTGTCACTGGATTGTTGCTTTTTACTGATTCATGAATTAATTAAACTGGTGTTTTTTCCCTTGAAATATATTTCTGTTAACCCTATCACCACAGGTATCCTTTACTGTGCATGACACAAGATTTTAGTGTCTTACGTTCAAAATTTTATTAAATTACTTTTTTTATGTTATACGAATTAGAATAGCATAAAATCTTAGCTAATAATCCCTATTTAATAGTATATAAGTTTTAAGTTCTTAATTCTACAAGGCAATATAAAAAAAAAAATCCTGAATTTCCCCAGTGTGACCCACGTGACACATTTTCTCTTAGCATGTCATCTTCCTTATTTTATCCACCAACCCTTGAAAATGTACAAGATTAAACGTAAATTACTCTCTATAAAATCATCATTGCTCAGACAAACCATAATTTTTATAGTCTTCAATTTTGTTTGGTTACAGAACTATCGAATAGAAAATCAGACCCTTCCTGCCACACCCACCTGTCAAATTCTCTCTTTCAGAATTCGTTAACAGTTCTCTCTTACCTTTAATTATATATTACCTATAACCAATAGAAAGTCAAGGTTTTCATCTATCAAATGACATATTGTATAATGTTATGTTCTGAATGGTTAAATGTCAATTTCACTCAGAGTACCAACATCATTCCTGTGAGAAAGTTAACGACTAACTTGGATGAATTTGTAACAACTCTTGTCACATAGTTAGAAAGCCAGAAATATTTTGAGAGGTAAGGGAATGTGTCTACTTTTTGCATGTTATTAGTCTATATTCTTTGGTGCATTATTTAATTTAATAAAAATTAAGTGCATTACTATCATTAGCATAAAAAAATTAGGTTAGCTTTCTTTGACAAACGACAACAAGAAAAGATTGATTTAGTATTTTATTTCTTGTTTTTCATGTTTATTCTTTATGTCTAATTATAAAACTAACTAAAATGTAAAAATAGGGATCCTTTTAGGCTAGTTAAGATTAGATAATAATAATAATATTAATAATAAAAAATATTTCATGAGGCACACAATCAAGCAACTTGTAGTAGCTCATGGGTAATGTAATTCATTAGCATAATGTGAGCTGCACGTTCCCCGAGTGATTTACAACTTATAATGGCACAGATAGTAGTTAGACATGGTTCAAAGGGCAAAAAACAATAACATTTAATTGTAAATAGATGTATATTGTTACGAACTTAGAGCTACTTAGAATAAAGGAATGTAGTTTCATGTTGCAATTTGAAGCCATTCTAGAAAGAAAAAAATGGTAATATAGATTTATTTTGATTTTTGGCAGGGATTACGAGGTCAGTCAAATTGACCGATTCTGTTTTGAGATCAGGTAGAGAAAATAACAGACAAACTGTAAAGTTTTACTGAAAGAATACGTTTGAAATACATTTAACAGGTTTTAGGAATTACACAAAGGAAATTTGAGATGAGGAAAAGTATTTTTAATCTTAACATGAAAATTACTTTGCACGTGGACTATTCAAAACAAATACTCAATATATTAATGGACAAGTCTTTATTTTATTTTATTAAATATACTTCACTAAAAATAGGATTTTTTTATGTGATAGATAGACTTGTAATATTAACTGAAAGACTGCCAAATTTTATGAAGATATACACGCTATATTGAAAGTTAAAATTATTAAATCTATTAATATTTTAAATGAGTACAAAGAGGTCACATGGTCGGTCAAAATGTCTGAACCCGTGTTGAGAGAGTTAACCAATTTGATCAGGATCTGGTACCTGAAAGTTTGAAGCTAACATTTCTTACTTATCAGAAAATGTCAGATTTACCCCCAGTGACTAATGCT